AACTATTTTCTGCTCAGAAAAGAACTATATTATTAGTATCATCATACAAAATTTGAGGTGATGTAAATAAGTGGTGGTATACCATTTTTCTAAGTGGGTATTTTTTCGATTTTTACAATACTCTTCACATATAAATTGTTGATCACGTAAATCAGTACCAAAAATAGCTTATATAATTAATTTCATAAATGTCAAATTATATATATATTATATTAATTAACTAGGATTAAATATTACAATGAAATGATTGAATTTGAATAAAGAACAAAGTACTTGGTGCAGTGGGAAATTATCTCGATAATTTTTAGGAACGATTATGATGTATCTATCCTATAAATAAGAGTGTTTTTCTAAAAATCATTTTTTAAAAAAAAATTAAAATGTATAATCAACAAATTCAACAACAAAACGACTCGGTCTGTTATAGCTGTAACCATCATCATCATTTTGAAACAAATAATATAGCACTTTTAAACGGCGATAATAATATTAATGATGGTAATAACATTATTCCACAACAACAATATTTATCGCTTCCGCCGTCCCGAATACAACAACATTTACAATTCTCGCCTCAACTACAACAACCACCTCAAATACAGCAATATTTATACACCAATAGTGATAATAATAATTATGTCAGTTCCGATCTTATTAATTTAACCAACAGTTCCAATTCCGTTGATTTAAACAATAATATTTCTTTATTGAATTCTAATAATAATAATAATAATGGCATCAAATATAACAACAACAATAACCCTTTGATTCTTTCTATTTCTCATCGTATGGCACTTATTAAGGATCATATGCTAGTAATAAACCAGCATTATTTAGAAATGGAACAAATCATCAATTGTTTGAAAAATCAAAATCCGTAAAAAATACATTTTAATCATTCGTCATTTGTTTTTTTATTATTGTGATTTCTATGTATTTTTTTTTTCAAAGTATTATAAAATTTTAAAAAAATCATCACACCATTTTGGCGTGTTCCTATTTTAAAGAATAATCAACCTAGGAATGGCTGGGTCATGGAATTGTGATGGTGTAATATTTTGACTCTCTTGCTCTATAAAGTGATCCCGGAGATGATTTCCAGGAAGCCGTGTTGCTGCACAATATTACTATACAAGTTTAAGCTACTTTTACTTTTACAAATATTGGTTGGTCGAATGGCTAAACTTTAATGGCTTTGGTGTGAAATTGTATCTATTTTATCATATCAGCCGATTCGGTTTTTTGGGCCTCGATGTTAAACACGAGTATTTTTAATGTGTAAACCTGGTCGGTAGAATGATAATTACCCTAAAAAAAATTATTTGCTCCGCTAAAAAAACTAATTTACTATCCATCAACCCGTCAAACCAATGGGTTTTTGCTAGTATAAAGTATTCATAACGTTATGATCACACCATACTGGATTTTGGGGTTCAAACAAAATCAGCGCATATGTTGACCAAACGCCAACACCAGGCTAAATAAAATATGATACATTTAGCAAGTTGTTTTTGATCTTTTATTTGAAGTATCGGGGGAAGAGCTCCCCGAAGATCCGAAAAACCTTTTGACGATGGACTTTACCAGCAATGATATCTCATTTAGTGATTTTTTCCTATGCCAAGATGTATAACTACAGAATGACTTTTAATACGAAGCGTTTCGCATATAATCTTTTCCAATCATTAATTCTGTTGAATTCGTTGCATTTGAGTTGGATTGGCATTTTGAGATTTAAACTTTAAATATAAACTTGGATAAAAAAATTTAATGCATAAATATTCATTTAACATCAGTATTTCTTGGGTCAACCAACTGGCCCATCGAGCGTTAGGGCAACCTGGTTACAATGAATGACATTAATATTTGGTCGAAAATATTGTTCTAGGCTAAATTATAATTAGCATTAGTTTGAAAAAAATAAATAAATAAATAAAAACACTCACCACCAAAAGACTTGCAAGTATATTTGCTTGTGCATTCAGGCCCGGCACCGGGTCGTCCAACCTGTTGGGTCAACACTAATAATAAGGAAGAAAAGGCTCTTTATATGTTTGCTATTTACATGTTATGATTTGAGAATGTGATCTGTGTATGTGTAAATAAAATGTCCAGCTGGAAGTAAATCACAATCGCTTTAGATATTTTATCATCCAATGCAATAATCATGTGATTTTTACGTGATTTGTGATATTACTAGGCAAAAAGAATGTGCCATGTATTGAATTTCTATTCTTCAGTATTATTATACTTGTAAATAGATTTGGGACACAAGACAATTATTTCATTTTGATTTTTAATGACACATTTAAATTTGATCAATTCATTTTAACAATAAGCAACTACATCATATCGTATTTTAATTTCATGAAATTCACTTATTTTCTAAATGAATATTAACCGTTTTAACTTGGGTGTATTGACTCAAACCATATTTACCTAGTTCACGGCCCACACCAGACTCTTTATATCCGCCAAAAGGACTAAAAAATAATTAAATCAATGTTAATAATAAAATTAAAATCAATTAATAGCAATAATAGTAATAGTAATGGAAATAGAAATAATGATAATTACGCATTTTGATGTGTTGTATTACAACAATTCACTATATATATATATATATATATTTTTTTTTTTTTGGAGAAAAAAATTTAAAATAAAGTAACCATAAAAAAAACACATGCACAAATAAATATGATGCAAGGAAACAAACAAACCCCAAACTGTTCCGGCTTTTAATGAATTAGAAATTTTAATTGCTCTTGACATATCTTTGGTAAAAACAGCAGCACCCAAACCATACTTAGTCAAGTGTGCTTTTTCAACAGCTTCTTCAGCGGTTTTAAATTTTGAAATTGCAACCACAGGTCCGAAAATTTCATCTTGCATTATTGTCATATCTTCATTCTATTATTATATTATAATAATTAAATTAATAATAATAATACAATATACAATATTGATCAAAAAATAAAATAAAAAATTAAAAGGTTACCACATCCGTGAATATTGTTTGTTTGATGAAATAACCTTTGTCACCAAGTCTTTCACCGCCTACTAAACAAGTAGCACCTTCTTTCTTACCAGTTTCTATGTAAGACATGATTCTATCAAATTGTTTCTGAGATATTTGAGGTCCCTGATAAGTATCATCGGCGAAAGGATCGCCAATTTTAAGTTTACTGGTGTGCTCTTTGAACTTTTCAAGATATTGATCATAGATTGTGTCCTGAACATAAACACGAGAACTAGCACAGCAACATTGTCCATGATTATAATATATTCCCATATTTGTCCAAGTCACGGCATCATCTAAATCTGCATCCGCAAAAATTATACTGGGTGATTTACCACCTAATTCTAATGACACTTTTTTCAAATTGCTCTCAGCTGATGCTTTAAGAATCGATTTCCCAACAATTGTAGATCCTATATTAACACCAGTTGTTGTTTCCTTAGAAAATAATAATAATAGTAATAATATATGCAGATAAATTTATCTATTTGTCTATTTGCATACCTGTAAAAGCAATCTTTTCAATCTTCATATGTTTGGCAATAGCAGAGCCAGCAGGTTCGCCATATCCTGATAAAATATTAACAACGCCTTTAGGAAATCCTGCTTCTTTGATTAACGCAGCAACTTTTAATGCAGATAACGGTGTATATTCAGATGTTTTCAAAACTACAGTGTTTCCTAGTGATAAATACAATAAATAAATGAATAAATAAAAATACATTCATTTATAACGACATTGATTTAATGATATATATTTACCACATGCTAAAGCTGGTGCTAATTTCCATGATTGCATTTCCAAAGGAAAGTTCCAAGGAATTATAGCACCAACACAACCAAAAGGTTCATGTCTTGTGTATGTAAATTTATCGGGTGAAGTTTCTATCACCTTTTTTTGTTTAAAGAAAAAAGAATTTTTATTTTATATATATATATATATATGGTATTTTTTCTTTTAAAAAAAAGAATTTTTTTCTTTTTACCTTTCCATGAATTTTATCAGACCATCCAGCATAATACCTATAAACTTCAATTGCAGAGGGTACATTATCATCTTTTGCAATAGAAAAGGCTTTACCGTTATCTAATGATTCCAATGCTGCCAATTCTTCCAAATCACGTTCCATGAGATTAGCTAATTTATTCAACAATTTGCCACGTTCCTTGCCTTCCACATGGCACCATACATTATTGTAAGCATCTATTGCCGCTTCAACTGCAATATCAACATCCTTTGCTGACGCTTCTGCAACTTTTGTAATCACCTCTTCTGTTGCTGGATTAATCGTTTCAAATTTTTTGCCATCAACCGCCTCTACAAATTCATTATTAATAAACAATCCTGTATTGACTAGTAAGAAACAATCAAACAATATTTACATCAATATTTATTTTATTCTAGTTTCTTTTTTAAATTTATTCCCAACAAGATAATAATACTTTGTATTTTTTTTCCCGTTGGTAAGGTAATGGATATTTCATTCGATTTCATTTTTTTTTTTAAGAATAAGAATTAATTTGAAAAGGAAATAATTATATTCTCATCGGTTGTTAATTAATCTATTTATAATGATTTATAATGATTTATTAATGATAATCATGAATTTCTAGCAAAAACCAGGCTTTATATGTGTAACTGATTTTGTAGAGATCATCACTTAAATATTTTCTCACATAATAAACTTTACATCAGTATGTAGCTAAATTTTTGCAGTTGTTTAAATTTTATTATTAATTAATTATCTACATGGTTTAAAATTTTACATACTTGATCTTTAAAATCCAAGTTAGAAACTGATTTTTTAGCATGTGAAACAAAAAACGATATCGCGATTTTTTTAATTATTATATTATTATGTAACACGAAAATCGTATGCTATATAAATAGAAATGCGATGTTTAAAATTATTACTATTACTATTATTACTGTTATTGGAATATACATAATCAGGATGATGCAGGTACTAATGCTAAAGGCGAATAATTCATATGAAAAACAATTGGATATATTTTTTGAAGTTTGTATTTATTTATTTTTCCTTTATAATCCCTTTTTGGCCAAATCCTCAACAAAAAAATTTCAGCACTATTTATATATATACCTTCTTTTTGGGCATTACGATTCAAGTGTGTCTTATTTTCTATAAAGAATTACGAAATCCATATTTATCACGTCATTTTAAATATAATAAATAATGGCATGATTTATCAGGCCACAAATATAAAATTGCAAAACGTCCCCCACAATAAACAATGATGCGAAAAATCTCATTTAGATCAACCTCCATTCATTCCAATCAAATTAATTTATAAATCCAAATTTTTATATAATATAAATATGTGATATAACGATTAACAAAGAAAACAATAATTTGTCGTTTATCTTGTAATCGTTGATATTGTTGATATAGTTGTTGATGTCGTTCTCGAAATTTGTTCGATTGTTGCAGAACTGTTTGTGGTCTTTGTGATCTTTGTCGTGCCATTACTTTGTTATTCATCTTGATGTTTTTAAATGGGTTAATACTAATAAAAAATATCGTAATAAATCAATTTTATATTTGTATTCCATAATTTTATTCGCTTGCTTTTTTTATAAAATAAAAATAAATTATTTATTTTTAATTGCCTCATAAATCTTCGATCTTCGATGACAAGTTTCATTGTTACCAATATTGTTTGTATCTTGAATAAGTTTACGGTTTCAAATTACTTTTACCTTTATTAAGAGTAGGAGAATCGTGAAATTCAAGAAACTTGTTGCATGTATATGTATCTTTGACCAGTATAAATTGTCGATTTCAAATTTACGCGCAACAATGAACAAAATATTAACAAAGAGCTATTGTGATATTTGTGCCACACTGCATCCAACTGAAATATAATGATAATTTTATTTTGAGGTTTTGTAAATATGGTTGATTATTTTTTTATGGAAATCATCGATTTGCAGAAGAGAAAGAATAAGATGAGATGAAAACTTTTTGGGATTTATGCAAACGATGCGAACAAAGTATAATTGGCATGTTCTATTTTTCGATAAATCATGGTTTCCACGACCTAAAAGAAGTATATCTAGTTTTCAACTCGTAATGATTGTTAATTTCACAAGCTTCGTCAACTATTAAATCAAATTTTAATTATGATCCAATTTAAAAAGAAAAATATTGAAGTTTACGTGTTTTTAAACTTTTAAATCAGTTTTTAACCTTTCAGAAATCAACAAGGATTATTCAAAGAAAATCTTGGTGGCGTTTAAAAATTTTGTATCACAGAAATTAATATTAATAATCACCATAGTAAATAAATAATGCATTATTAGTCACAAGTTCACAAATTATCGGAAGTTACGGATAAGATCGTAAGATTCAATTTTTTTTATCTATTATTATTATGACAAAAAAGAACGTATGATAATTAATAAAAAAAACATTGTTCACAATATATAAAGCTTCAATTTATCAAGTCCAATATTTTTCATGGTATACATAATATATATAAATATATTACGATTAAAAAATTACATTTATTTTTTACAAACAACTTTATACTCTTAAAAAAAAAAAATGCAACACATTAAATCAAATAGTGCTTTAGTATCTATTGCTCGTCAAAATGCTCGTAATTTTATTAATGCAAAAAATACCGCTGTATTAACTCATAACAGTAGTCATACTGGTGGTTTCTCAAATAGAGGAACCACAACAACTGGTGGTGGTAATGGAGTAAAATATTGTGGATCCAAATTTAATCAAAGCTCTCAATTTTCTACAAGTTCTAACAGTCTTCTTCATCAAAATTTTAATAATAATTTAAATTCTATAAATGGTTCTTCATTCATAAGACGCAACAACAACAACAACAACTGCTATTATAAGTCAAATCGAAGATATCATACTGTGAATAATAATAATGTATCACAAAAAACAGATTTCTTTAATTCTGGTTTATGTTTTGGCAATAGTAAATCAGATTCATCATACAATCACCAATCTTTTTTTTCAACAGATGATTTCAACAATCATATATTAGAAATAATACAAGCATCCTCTTCAAATACAGAAAAATTGTTTGAAATTGAAAAAGAATTTTCAAGTATAAAAAATTATGGTTTAACTCCAAACACCCAGACATATAATCTTCTACTTGAAACAATTTGTAAATCAAGACTTGAAAATTATTCGATTTCCAAATTAAAGAATTATTTTAATCAGATGCTTAAGGAACAAATTGAACCAGATTTTTTGACTTTTTTTATTTTAATAAAAAATATATGTAAAAGAGATCATGAGATTTACAATCAAAAAAATTTTTGGGAGTTGAGATTGAAGATGGACGGTGATGATCTTTTTGCTCTTAAGAAAATTGAAAATATTAACGCCGAAGAAAAAAATTTAGATTTTGCACTTGGTTTGTTCAAAGACAGTCTTATATTCATCGATTATGATGGTGAAACATGCGATATGCTGTTACGTTCTCTTGCCGAACGTGTCAGAGTTGAAGATGCGATGTTTATATTTCATTACATGAGTACAAATAATATCACCTCACAATTTACATATTGCTATTTAATTTCTTTGTATGGAAACCTTGGTGACATCGAAAAAACATTGGAATACTATAACGAGTACATCTCAACAACTACAACCACTTCATATTATAATTATAATAAAGAGCCATTATCCATATATAATTATTTAATTTCTGCTTATATAAGGTGTAGTGATATCACAAGTGCGTTAAATATAATAGAAAAAATTATTCCTGAAAATGGTCTTTTGCCAAACGAATGGTCTTATTACTATTTAATAAGAGATTTATGTGCAATTGGTGAAATTGATTTGGCCGAAGAATGGTTCAGTAGATTAAGGGACGATCCTTCATTACCTAATCCATCTGCTCAAGCATACTCTACATTGTTGTTATATCATTCAACAAACGGCGATTATCAAAAAGCAGCCGAGATATATTATGACATGAAAACGGAGCATTTACATCTTAAATATTTGGAATTCAGCGTCTACCTTTATTCAACAGTCAACCATGATCCCGACAACATAAAAAATATACTGGATGATTCATTTCAACTAGGTCAAGCCCCCGACTATTTTCTTACAAAAGTAATAATTGATCATTATCTTGAAAATGAAAACCCTTTGGAAGCATTAGATATTATGACCAGGATATTGATAAGCTTTGAAAATTCGAAATACAGATCAGAAAATATTACGCATTACGAAGAATTATTAAACAAGTTGATTTTGGATTCTAGAATTGATTTGAAAGATTCGATTGATATGAAATTTAAATTTTATAATCAAAATTTCAGAATACCACCTTTAATCCACCACACGTTAATCAAAAAATACAACCAACTTAAATGCGAATCAAACTTCATCTCTCAATTAAAATCACTGCCAGATACTTATATCACCTGTTTATTCGATAGTTTTGGAGCAAAAATCTTTTTGTTTGAAAAATTTAAAGATAAAAAGGATAAAAATATCAAATATGTGGATGGGTTATTAATGTTAATGAAAGATTTTGTCTCGGCCGAGATTACAATTCCTTACAACACCGCAAGAAAATATCACGAACATTTGAAAGGGTTGAACGAAAATAATGCAGCTGAGGAATGGGATCAATTATATTCAAAAATGTATAGTATTGACAAACAAATGCCAACTAAAAAAATATTTGGTCGACAACCTACAATGTTGGAAATTAATCGTTCATCTGAATTAGCAAATATTTGTAGAGGTACTACCAATATTGAGGTTGGTGCAGTATTGAAGGGAATCAAGAAAATGTTAAGCGAAGATTTATTGCCGACACCGGAACTTATTAGTCAAGCAATTCGAAACTTGGGAAAAGCTAGAAATTTAAAAGAGGCAAAAGAAATTTACGAATTATCTTTGGAATTTTGTAATCAATGGGATGGTCAGGTTAGAGATAGATCATTATACTATTCTCGTAACAGTATGTTGGTCGCATATGCCAGTAATCATATGGTGGATGAAGCATTTCAAATTTACAATGAAATCATTGAAAGTGGACATCATCCTGATGCGAGTGCCTATGCAGATCTTTTGGTTGCTGAGGGTTCGCATGACCCTGATGAAGCCTCGACTGCTTTAAAACTTTACTCTGAAATAAAAAGATTCAATATCAGACCAACAATTTACCTTTATAATGTTTTGATTAGTAAATTGGGTAAAGCACGTAAATATGACTTGGTATGGGAGACATACGAAGATATGAAAAAACATAGGATTTCTCCTAACGTTATCACATATAGTGCCTTGATTTCAGCTTGTACTCGAGTTAAATCCGAAGAAAAGGCCATTTCATTGTTTCAAGAGATGGAGAATTCTCCCAATTTTCAACCAAGAATTGGTCCTTACAACACAATGATGCAATTTTATACATGGGATTTGCATAATAGAGAAAAGGCCTTCAAATATTTTGACGAGATCCAAAAATACGGATTACTACCATCTGAACACACTTATAAATTGTTGATTGATGCTTATGTTACAATTGAACCGTTTGATACAAAGTCCGCATTAGATGTCTTTGAACAAATGAGAATGAATGGATCAGCACCACAAGCAACTCATTACGCGTCATTGATTTATGGATATGGGTGTTGTCAAGGCGATATAGAAAATGCACTTAACGTCTTCAACACTATGGAGTCTTTGTATAATGTTAGACCTGATGAGAATGCTTATCAAGCATTGTTTGATGCTTTGATAGCTAATAATAGAATGGAAGAAGCAGAAGAATATTATGAATTAATGTTAAACCAAGAAGATGTCGAGTCAACACCATATATTGAAAATTTATTTATTAGAGGGTATGGCCAACTGGGTCAATGGGAAAGAGCGGAAACAGTATTTGAAAATATGATTGATTTAAATGAAATTAATGATCGTGAAGGTGTACCGAGAGAACCTAGTACATATGAAGAAATGGTTAAAGCATTTGTTATTAATGGAGAAGTTGAAAAGGCAAAAGAAGTTGCCAGAGTTCTGGAACATAAATATTTTCCAGAGACTGTGAAAAATAATATATATAATTTATTACGTTAAATTTTTTAATTATTTTTTTTTTTTTGTATATAAATTCTATTTTTTTAATTTATTTGTTTATTAGCATTTGTCAAATTTTAAAATATAATAAAATTTCAAAATTTATCATTTTTTTTTATAAATTTCCGGTATAATGTTTATTCTTGAAAACTCCACCATCATCGATTTCTTTATTGAATTATCAAAATTCAACGAACGATCTATATAAATCAAAAGCATTTTTTGTTTTCAATATACCTTTTACATAGCACCTTGAATGTTGTAATTACTATCAAATATCATATGAAATGTTTTTTTTTGTTCTTATTAACAATGCTAAGGATCTATTTACCTTCAACTTTACCAAGTCTAATAGGAAATTCCGTTAATCGAACAATGTATTTTTCAAATTAGCTGATTGTTTCATCGGTATATCTGAACAACAGCAACAACAACACAATAATAATCAATCAATTAAAAAAATCAAAGTTGCAATGCTAATTCTAAACTTTGATCTCTTGCCATAGATAAAGTAATTGAAGAAGAAATACCAACCGACTTTGGATGCAAAACAAGAAGCTCGACCTAATTGGTCCCTTCCTCCTGACGAGCATTGTAATGTAAGACATTGTGAAAACATCACACAAGTCTGTTCTGGGACTCATAATTTGATCATGTTTCAAGGATTTTACCTTCTTCCAAACCAGCGAGAAAATCTCTCTGAACCAATTTATAACTCGTTTCTACTTAACTGATTGGGTTACTCTATTTACCCTTTCTCCCCGGGAATGGTAACCCATGAACTTTGGCACAATTCTCCTTACAGTCTCAGCAACACCGTCATTTTTGTTTCTAACTGGGGCATTCTTTTAATATTGTCATGATGGACTCTTGACATAAGACTATTGTTTACTAAATAATTTCTTGTACTTTCAAAATAAACTAACCCTACCAACTCAAGATACGTTTTTTGACAAAGAGGTGTGCACTATGAATCCAGCAATAAAAGGATCTTTTGTTAAAACGAACAGTCTTTTTGAGTCTTCTGCTGGTATTTATTGCTCGCCATCCATTGTTATAAGCAGAGTCATCAAGAATATGTTTGGAACATGCTCATGCGGTTCAGAAAACTCATTTTTTAGGACCGAAGATGAACAACCATAATCACAATCCACTTTAGAAATTTATTATTATATTCAGTAGAACCCTCCCTATATATAAAATTTATCAAAACCTGAAATATACTAATGCTAAATTTAGCAACAATCGAATCTTTGCTTCCGTAACCAAAAAAATTCAATCGTATTATTAATTAATATATTGATCGGTGAAAAATCCGCATGTGCGTAAATTTCATTTTTCACGCACAACATAGATTTGTTGAGGTGAATAATATTAGTAATTTCGTTTCAACGGATTTTAATGAAATTTTCTTACGTACCTGTTCTAGTTTCCAGTTAAAGGAATATCGTCATCATCTTTCTCTTCTATCAATGAATTTCTTACCAAGTATTCAAAAGTTTGTAACATACAGATTATATAATAATGAGTTAATGCTCAATCAAGTGATTGATAAATAGTAAATCTGATGACGATAAATAAACAAATAAAATAAATAAAAGTTAATACTTCCATGTTGATCTCGATTTTACTATTACTATTCCACATTACAATGCAGGTATCAGTTGTTTTTCTTTTTTCATGTCATATTAATGTTCCATCTGAATATTTCCCTTCTCATTAGCATCATCAGGTGTAAGAATATTCATCATTTAGTATCTACAGTGTGTTAAGAAAAAAACCGCGGTGACAAAAATTTGCATATCTCAATAATTACATAACATAATTAAATAAATTTAGATTCGTTTGAAACTTTATCAAATTACCTTGTTAAATAAAAAAAATAGACATGATATGCTATTGCCAATTTTCTGTAAAGCTAATTCATATCTTTTTTTTAAAAATTATCCCAATCTTTTAAAATAGTTACGAATGGAGATATTCTCTTTCCCCACCTGCCAAAAAAAAGAAATGGCTTAGTTGGCTATAAGTAAACACTTCTCCCAATCACAGAATAATTTTAGTTTTACCTTTCTTTTGCATTTCTCCTTAATGGGATAGCAAAGTCAATTGATATTACCATTACAAATAAATAAGGAAAATATTGCATCACCAAAGTAATAATAATACTATGGCCATGCATGAAAAATGAAAATTTATTTTTAAAAGACCAATAAATCTAACGTTTATGTTTAGGTGTCAGATTTAATAAAATTATCTTTCCTGCATCTATGCAGGTTCTATCCATAACCTTCTACGTTGCCGCAACGAGTGATCACAGCAATGGCCGCAATCTCATCGAGTTGTAGCTTTATAGAAGGGTGAAATCCATATCATAGATGAGCCTTCACAATCCCTTTCTCCACACATTTATGGTTCATGTTTCCGTATCTATTCCGCCAACAATACGGTCCATGTCCCATAAAAAGAGAAAGAGACAAATGCAACTTAACAGGATCTACACAGCCTCCCGATCACGCTGTGAATCCCCCATTGCATTTTATCCTTCAAGTGATCAGCGACAGGGAGTCGGATTGGTTGATCATTAAAAATCAAGGAAGGATGATATGAATACCATAATTTTTTTTTTACTCTTCCAGAGTAAATAAAATCACCAAAGATGCGTAAAGGTCGTCCGTTCATCGATCCTTGAGAATAAAAAGAGAAACAATAATAACTATTAAAACTACGTGGAAGACAGTGAAATTTTTTATAAAATTTTTTTTTTGTATAAAAATGAAGTCATTTATTTGATTGATGAAGCATAAGAATATCTGTCACAATTACCTACCATCATCAAAAGTTGCAGTCAGCAGGTATCCTTAATGTGATGGATGGTTTGGGCG